TCATGGCTGTATTAGATCAAAAGGGTGCTTCTACTAAATACTGAGCAAAGGGTCTGAATACTTAGGACCATGTGATATTTCAGTTTTTCTTTTTTAATAAATCTGCAAAAATGTCAACGATTCTGTGTTTTTCTGTCAATATGGGGTGCTGTGTGTACATTAATGAGGAAAAAAAAATAACTTAAATGATTTTAGCAAATGGCTGCAATATAACAAAGAGTGAAAAATTGAAGGGGGTCTGAATACTTTCCGTACCCACTGTATATATATATACAGTATATATATAAATACCTTGCTACGTGTACTGTGTTAGGCTAACCGAGACTTGTCATTTGCACTTATATATTGTTGCTCTTTTGTTAGTTTTGATTGCTTCTATTGTCCTCATTTGTAAGTCGCTTTGGATAAAAGCATCTGCTAAGTGACTAAATGTAAATGTAATAAAAATGAGAAAATCAGAAATATCCACAGGCTGTGCTTTATTTGGACTTTTGTCCTGCACTTTTGCCGTAACTGTAATTTCCATCAAACCAACTGTAAGTCGAGTTGTGTTGACGATACACAAAAGCACCTCATGGCAAAATACACCACAGAAAAACTCATGGCAAAACAGTGAACTTCCTCATGCATGCTGGCCCTGATTTATATAAAATCACATGCAAACTTGACAGAATGCTGTTTTATATGGTTTTTGCAGGTTTCCTTCGATCCTCAGGGATGCATTCATATTCAAGATGCATTTCTGGTTGTAAAATCGTGACGCTTAAATCTTTGTTTTGTGAATTTTGGAAAAATGTTTTCTAAAAAAAAAATACAAGTTTCGACTTTCTGTATATTGCTTTTATAACTATTTATCTGATTATTAATTTTATTTTCATATTATGCAATTTATTTATTATATGTTTTTATTAATACTATTATTTATAATATTTACATTTTGTATATTATTAATTTTATTGCTATTATTTATATTATCATTTTATTTTATTTGTAATTTTTATTACTTTTATTGACTAATATTTGATTTTGCTATTTTGTGATTTTTGTGGTCAAATTACTTGTTTCAAAAATACAAATATGCACTGACTTTCTAGTTTTGACTTTCTTTTTATTATTATTACTTTTATAACTTATTTATAATTTATTTATATTATTAATTTATATTTATATTATTTTTATTGATTATTATTCAAATTTTATTTATACTCATTTTAGATTTGTATATTTATATTATTCATAGCATTATTGTATTGCTGTTATTTATATTATTTAATTTTATTATTTAATTTATACTTTTTATTACTTTTAATGACTGCTATTTGAACATTTGGTCATTTTTTGTGATCAGATTATTCACTTGTTGATTAGCAAAAGCGTCATTAGTAAAATCTGCTGACAGTCTTGTTGTTTATTGCTGAATATATATTTCCATGTTTTGTGAATTTAGAGTAAATATTGTGTAAAATAAGTGTTTATTTTAGTGCACATTTTTATTTTTCGGTCATTAAAGTATATTTTTATATGTATGTATAATCAGCATTATATCAGCCAATCTGCTCTGTATACTAATTTTTAAATATAGGCCTATATGCATTATAGAAATAATATAATTGTCAAATATGAAATCTCCATCTGTGCAATTGCATTGCCCACCGTTTGTTAGATTGCATTAGCAAATTCAAAGGTCTGTTTTATTTGGTAAATCAGGATGCTTATGTACAGGACATGACCTTTGCATGATCTGCGGTTTGAAAATGAAGAACATGTTGCTTCAAGTGAACAAACAGGCCACTTTTTTCAGGAAGGACCCGATGCACAGCAGGTTTTTCTGGGAGTGGCCTGAGGTTTCTGCCCCTCCTGAGCATCAATAAAAGGAGGAAGCGTCGCAGCTCTGAGCTCAGCGGACGCTTCATCACACCAGCCACTGATGCCTTTCCAAGCAGAAGAAAGCAGATCTGAGGCTTGTAGCTGAGGGTAAACCTCTGAGAAGCGGATGAAGAAACAAATCTTACTACGTTTCACATACCGAGGACTAGTAAGAAAAGGGAAGAAGAGTAAAAGAAGAAAATGGCCAATTTTATATTACGGAAAGCCGAGCCCAAGGACGTGTCTGACATACTGCGACTCATAAAGGTATGAAATTCAGTTTTAAACCTGACTGATGTTCAGAATTCCATGTTTAATTTAATGTTACTTGCAGTTTCTTTGTATTTATTTATTATGATTTTATTTTTTTATTTTTATATTTATATAATTTTAAATTCATTGCTATTTATAATTTATTTCATTAATACTATTATTTGTTTATTTATAATATTTATATGATGACTTTTATTGCTATTATTATTTATGATATTTAATAAAGGTATGGGTAGTTCAGTTTTAAACCAGATTGGTGCTATTTAAGGCAGTTTAAAAGCTGTGTAGCTACACTGCAAAAAGGATTTTTCAAAGTTATAAATCAAGATTATTGAAGTATGCTTTACAAGAAAATAGTAGTTCAGTTTTTTCTAAATTTCATGTTTAATTCAATGTGTTGCTTGGTTTCTTTGTAGTTTTCTTTATATTATTTTTATTTTATTATTATTATTTTGTTTTCTTATATTCAAATTGTGAAATTTACTAGCAATTTATGAGTGAAATTTGTTTCTACACCAATATATTATTATTATTTTTTTTTTTACCTCAAATGTTGTGATGAGATCTGAAGAGTTACAGTATAGTTACTAATCCTAACTTTATCATTTTCAAACCTGAATATGCATGTTTCATGTTAGGAACTGGCCAAATTTGAGGAAATGGAAGATCAAGTTGTTCTCACTGAGAAAGGTAAGTACATTTAGACGTTTTCAGAGTTTGTAGCTTGTGTTTTCACTCTTCTGACTGCTCTTTGGCTCCTGTAGATCTGCTGGAGGACGGGTTTGGAGATCATCCGTTCTATCACTGTATCGTGGCTGAAGTGCCCAAACAGCAGCAGAGCGCCGACGGTAAGACTAAACCTGTGCTTCAGCTCTGTGTTTCAATGCACAATATGTCATGTTGTTCTGTTTTCTCCATATCAGGTTGAAGCGAGCACATCAGGAGTGTGTAAATTCCCACTGACACTTGGGTTACAAAGCGTGCTTCTGTGCATAATGACGAAAAACTGTGTTTGGTAACACTTTGCATTGCAGCGCGCATGTTACGCATACAATAAACATGATGTGCATGTAGTTCATTAGTGTTAGTTCACCCAAAAATGAGATTTTAGGAATAATATATAAGTATACACACTGCCAAAATATGATTTTCTTCCTCAGTATTTTTCCTGTTTCTTCTTAAATCAAGATACATCTACTTGACTTGAGAAGCAAAATTGCTTAAGATATTAAGTCTTGTTTTCTGAAAAATGTCTCAAAATTAAGTGGCTTGATGCTTAAAACAAGAAAAAAAAATCTGACAAAGGGGTCCGAAAAAGCAACTTAATTTAGAGGAAAATCTAGTTTGTTTTTCTGACCTCATTAGCGGACATTTTTTCCTATTTTAAACATAAAGTCACTTCATTTTGAGACATTTTTCAGAAAACAGGACTTATCTTAAGTAATTTTGCTTCGCAAGTAAATGCATATTGATTTAAGAATGTTTCGATATTTGTACTGGAAAACAAGACAAAAATACTGAATTAGAAAATCAACTTAAATTTGGGTCTGTTCACACTGTATGGCTTCAAAAAAAAAAAAAACGTCATGCTGGGGTTTTTGTCCTTTTTGTTGCTTTAGAGAAGTGGTCACTATTTGGGATTTCAAATTTTGGGAAATTTTGACATGAGGGTAAGTGAATTATGCCATATATTCATGTTTGGGTGAACTGTTTATTAAAGTAACACTGTAACATGAACACTGGAATGTAAAGTGTTTTTTTTGTGTGTGTGTGAATCTGAACGTTCAACACAGAGATTTTGAGTTGTTTGACAGTTGCAAAGAACTCTTATCCAATCCCCCTCTGTAATTTATTGTCTTCAGGCTACAGTCCACGATTCCATGAATGAATCTTTTAGAATTTTGGGGAAGAACAAATGTTTGGAAAACAATTCTAATTGCCATGACAACAGCAACGTTTACTTTTACAAAAACATATTTGGAAAGTCATGAAAGTCTTTCTAGTATGTTTTGATTCCCAACCACTGATCTATAATAGAGATTGATAATAATAGTAATTATGTAGATCAGTGTTCCCAACCCTACTCTGCCTCACTGCAAAAAATTATTTTCATACTTAGTATTTTTGTCGTTTTCCAGTACAGATATTTAAACATTCTTAAATCAAGGTGTTTACTTGAGAAGCAAAATGACATAAGAAATTAAGAAAAATGCATCAGTAACATTAAATAAAAATAATGTTCACATTTTATATATATTGTATTTTTATATATAATAATGTATATACATTTTATTATATATAAATGCAAGAAAATAAAAGAATATAATTTTTATATAATGTCATTTAAATATTGTTTTGAATTGTTTTAAGCATAAGTTCACTTTATATATATATATATATATATATATACATAAAAATACAATAAAATATATAAATATTATTTTTATATAATATTTTACTTCTCAAGTAAATGTATCTTGATTGGATATTAGTACTGGAAAACGAGACAAAATTGCTAAGTAAGAAAATATTTTTGCATTGTGGTACAAACATTCAAATGAACAGAATAAACGTGAAAAGAAAAAGTGAAATGATGGATTAACTGAAACTGTGGCTCCTGGAATGACGTGACTGTGGTGTATGCGAGGGTTGTGATGCCGATAATCCCATCTTAAATTAATTTCAACAAACCTAAGCAAATTGCAAACCAGCAGCATTTGTCTTCAGGCAAACTCTGACTTATCTGTGATTTAGAAATGCTTTTCTCTATGCTGGAAACAATAGAGTGATTGAACTGTGTTTCCAGGTCATGTGATCATTGGCTTTGCCATGTATTATTTCACCTATGACCCCTGGATTGGGAAACTGCTCTACTTGGAGGACTTCTACGTCATGAAAGAGTTTCGGGGTATGAATGTGATCTTATACATTTGAGATATCATACTGTCAGATTTATGAGACACCGTCATGTAACACACTTTTCCTTCTATTAAAATTAGGTTTTGGAATTGGGTCTGAAATCCTGAAGAAACTGAGTCAGGTAAGTTTCAACTTACTTTATATAACACCAAAAGGATCAATAACATCTATTTCTATGGCCTGTGAGGAAACAGTTCATGTATGTTGTTCAGATCACATAGTTACCCTTGTGAAAAAGAAGTGCGCTTAATTGTATTGAATATCATATAAGTGTATTTTTAAAAACGAAAAATACTATAAAATATATATAAAATCCTACTTAAGTGTACTTAAAGAGACACTTTCATGACTATGTTTCTTAACACACTTAAGTACACTTTTAAGAAGTGCACTTTGTAATGATGTTTTACTTCAAAGTGCATTTTAAATCATGTTTTAATAAACTTTTGTCATGCTTTAAAGAAGTACACTTATATTGATGTGTTGACTAACATACTACAGCGCATATAAAGTACTTGATTATCATTTTAACTGTTTAATATTACATTGAAAGTTAATGTATTTTAAATGTACTAAATTTCGACATCATCGTTACTACATGAAATTACAAATATAGCCTCCTTAAAAACATTTCATTCAAGTTTCCACAGAAATCACATTAAAGTATATTTTAGTTAACCATAAACATAAAGATGTACTACTTAGTCCTACTTAAGTGAGTCAAAAAACTATGCATTTTTACTATGCATACATTAAGTATGCATTTGATGTAATATAAACTTATTTTATTTATTTTAATTAAATTGCAAATAACATGCAGTTAAGTGTCTGAAAACATCACATTCAGTTTGCACTTAAGTATATATATTTTAAAGTATATACACTGTAAAAAAAAAATTTGAAATTGAAAATAAAACAAAGATTAATGGAGTACATTTTACAAGAAAATACTATTTCAGTCTTTCTCCTTAAAATTTTCACATTTAATTTAATGTGTTACTCGCCGTTACTTTCTTTGAGATTATTTGTGAAATTTACAAACAATTTCTGAGTTAAAAAATTGTTTCTACACCAGCTTTTTTTCTGTTTATTTTTTTAAAAGCATCACAAGGGTACCAAAGCTCAAAGTATACAATACTAGTTAATAATTAGTCCCAGGTTAATGATCTAACATTATAGCACCTCTAATCTTCTTCCTGGCAGTATATCGTGTACTCAGTCAGTTTTCTCCAATCATTGACTGGTTTTCTGCAGACGGCGGTCAGGACTCGGTGCAGCAGCATGCACTTCATCGTGGCGGAGTGGAACAAATCCTCCATCGAGTTCTACAAGCGGCGTGGAGCGTCTGATCTCTCGCTGGAGGAAGGGTGGAGGCTCTTCAAGATCGACAAGCAGAACCTGCTCAAGATGACCAATGAGGAGTGAAGCGGATGTCAGGAGATTGTTGCAGTCTGTGATTGACCCTCTGGTGCTGGTGTTCACTGAAGTGGACAAGATCTTCAAAAGTCATTTTGAAGCATTCAGGGTGTGATGTTACATCCAAAACCTTTCATTCTGACCCATAATTACAATTCTCTCTACATAATTTTGAAAGATTATATTCTTGTTTTGAAGTACATTAAGATATTTTCTTTTCTTTTGTGATGTAATAATTCATGAATCAGAGGCTTTCTGCCTGTCATGCAATGTACTGATGTTTATATAGACGCGGCATATTCACTTCTCTGTATACTTCAATCTTAAATTATACTGAAATTTTTTTAAATAAAATGTTTAAAATAGAACATATGTTTTTACACTTTATTCCCTCATCTTTTTCATTTTTGTTATGAGATCTAATGTTTCCCCATTTTATACTTAGCAACAAAACGATTCTACAAGGTGAGACAAGTGTTGGCGGGTAAAGCAAAAATGACTTTAGATGAACATAACATTTGTGCTTCATTTTTTAATTTTTTTTACTGAAGTGCATTGAACTTCTACTGCGTTCTATTCTTCATGCAATCCAGAATGGCAGCACAACTGAGGTTTGTTTGAGCTGCCGCCTCTACTGTACAGACATGAATTTACATTTCCTTCAGCCTGAGGTTTATTCATTTCTCTTTTGATGTGAAAGCCCAGCCCAGATGAGAAAAAGTACCTCAAAAGTAGTGTAATGCATTACTTTCCACAAAACCACAATTAGTTACTTTTTTAGGGAGTAATGCAATATTGTAATGCATTACTTTTAAAAGTAACTTTCCCCAACACTGGACGAGACACTATAGACAAAACTATAGGCACTTTATCTATTTGCATTTCTAGAGATTTCAGTTACAATACATATCTTTAAAGGCTGTTTTTTTCAAAATGAGTTTTTTTTCCCAGTTCAGCAGCACTTACATACACCAAACGTAGCAGGTTTATTCCTATCTACATTCTGAAGGTTTTTACTGGGGAGTTTGTTCATAATATAATATTTTACCCTAAATATGGTGAAATTGTATTTGTATTCTGGCTGTTGACCGTATTTTCTGATTTATGCAGTGATAAAAGAGATCCCTTCTGTAAAAACCTTTAACTCTAATATGTTGACAAAATTAAACAAGAAGATTTTTGTTCAGGAAATGTATGTATATTAGGGCATTTTTAATTAGATAATGCCTCATATGCTTGTTTAAAAATAACATTTCAGAAAACTTCCTGTGATTAATCAACTGATGAGGTGTGGTGGTGGTTGTCTTGCCCTGCAGTCACTAATTTTATCCCTTAAAACTCATCTTTGATCATAAAAATTACATATTTAAACATTTTTCCCATAAAGATAATTTTTTAAAATGGCTTGAATATAACTCTATAATAAAAATGACATTTAATCATTTCTTTTCCCCCATGAAAATAATTTGTTTTAAAATGGCTTGACCTTATTTAGTATACAGGGATCTATGAATATGCTAATTGTCCCTGCCTCCGCTCTATCACACCAGGGGGGGCTTGTACTATGATGGAGGCTGAACAAACTTTTTTGAGAAAACCAAACCAGTCCAATCCGGCTTTGTTGGTACCATGATGCTGATCATCAACTTTCTCTGTCAACTCAGGCTTTGATCCTGAGCATGAAAGTGTGACATCAGTAACAAACAGCCAATCACATGCCTTGAAATTCTGATTCACTTCTCATGAGAGAGTCAGTGCGATTGACTACCAAAGATTAAAAGAATCTATCCATGAAAGAGGACAACTTAAAGAAAACATCTTGTCATATCAGTGCAAGTAGAAGTTGTGAAGTCAGTTTAGTTAATAATATTTATAAGTATAAAAACACTTAAAAATCTAAGCTCATATGTAGTCATGTTTAAAGCTATTGATTCTAAAACTGATTTATATTGCATATCTTTTTATGTTTATATTCATTTAAAATAAAAGCTTAATAATGATTATTAAACTAAACACGGCTCGTGTAATATAATAATTTTATAAATCATATAAAATAATTATAATAAATAATCATCTCTAAAAGCCAGATGATTTTATCTATAAAAATGTTTTACAGGAGCAAGAGAAACTGGGGGAGTGACTTTATTGTGTAAGAGATGTGTCACTTTGCTAGAAGCTGATTGGTCAAATTTAGGTTTGCGATCTCTAAACCAGAACATAACTTAGCCATGGAGCATAAGTTATTAAGGCGATGAACACCGATTAAAGCCGAGCTACATTCATGGTACCTAAAACCCAGAGTTGGCACAAACTAAACTGAAACTTACCTGGCTAGCCAGCTAAACCGGCTTCATGGTACAGGCTCCAGAAGTCAGCATTGAACAAAACTCCGGCGTTTTGAGCGGTGAGTGGATTCTAACGTAAACACCTCTGATTGGCCATTGCGTTCAAGAAATCAACAGATATGTCTGTGATTGGCTACACTGCTCAACGCTGCAAACACACTTTGTAAATAGAAACCTATGACCAGTGGATGAAAAGCCCCGCCCCGCAGATTGACGGGATTGGTTAAATGATTGTGACGTAGGAAAGCGGGGCAGTATCAAACAGCATTTTGTGATTGTCGTTAAGGAGAAAATGCTCAGCAGTGGTGTTGACTGATGAATTTGCACATGGTTTTAAAGGGGTCATATGATGTGATTTAAATTTGTCCTTTCTCTTTGGAATGTTACGAGCTCTTGGTGCAAAGAAGATCTGTAAAGTTGCAAAGACTAAAGTCTCAAATCCAAAGAGATATTCTTTATAAAAGTTAAGAGTCAGCCACACCTACCTAAAACGGCTCGTTCTAACACGCCCCCACATGTCTACATCACGATGTGGGAAGATTTGCATAACGCCGCCCAAATGTTCACGCAAAGAAAGAAGGTGTAACTTTTATTCTCGCTGTAGTATTGTTGCTACCGCCGCCATGTCGTGAAGGCGCTGTGTGTTTCATTGTGAAAGCGAAACTACTTTGTTTGGTCTTCCAAAAGAAGACGATATCCGCTTCGTCATGCCGAGAGCTGATCTGTGCTGGTCGCTGAGGAAATACAACAACTTTGCGCTGTCAATTGCCGGATCGGCTTTCACCGTGGATGAAGCGGAGTCCAGCCCGGGGTCGTCACATGTGGTAGCCGCAAGCCCACCGGCCGCTCCTTCGTCGAATCCGTTCCTCACTCAAGCCCGCCGGTCTCCGCTCACTCTAGCATCATATGACCCCTTTAAGCATATTTAAACACCAACATGTGTTTTATTTACAGATTTAAAAAAATAATTTTTTACGGTGTAGTTTTGTTTCTGTCTGTTTTATTAGTAACACTATTAATAACAATAGCACTCTCTATTTTATCTACTTGTGTTCTTTTTATTTCTTTAAAAAAAACTTGACCCTCTAACACTCTTGCACTCTCTATTCTATTTCTATTCTAACTACTTATTTATTTTTTTATTTAAAAAAAAAATATATATATATATATAAAAACCTTGCTACGTGCACTGCATGTCGGGAAGTCGTGGCCTAACGGTTAGAGAGTTGGACTATGGGTCACCATACTTGGCCACATGTCACGTCACTTTCTTTTTTTCACGTCACTTTCATTAGACTAACCGAGACTTCACAGCATTTACATTATTGCTCTTTTGTTGGTCCTCATTTGTATAGGTTGCTTTGGATAAAAGCATGAGCTAAATGATTAAATGAAAATGTAAAGGTAAGTTAGTGGTGTTTGCTCATACTTTGGATTTGAACAAACAGCTAACAGTATTACAGTTGCAAGCTGTATTACAGGCAGTTGTTTGTTAATGTGTGAAGTGGGAGTGCAATGCTCTCTGAGAGATTCCTGAGACATTACCAGGGTCAGAGCCAAACTGAATGAGAATTGCATGCTTATTCGTAAAAGGCCTGTCCATTATTGCATGTGCTGCTCCTGCAGGAATGTGACACTGCGATTGTTCTGTTTAACTAAACACTGTAATTAAACTCAAGAGATGGTTTATCTTAGACACTCATCAGTGTGTGATGAGGTTCTTCTTTCTTGAATGTTTCAGTTGTGCGTTTGTCTAGACTAAAGGAAACAAAGTTGTGAAAATAACAATGCCTTCCTGCCCGGTGACCTCTGAGACCTTAGCTGTTTATTAAAACTTTTTCAATAGGTCTATACCTTATTTTCCAGATATAAGAAAAAAGCATAAGTGACTGGAAATGACTCAGTATTCATGTCCTCAGAGGAAACCTCCCATAAGTCTCTCAGACAAGAGTTCCAGCTGAGAGCGGATGTGAATGAGTCAGTGCTGATTATATCCCATTCACAAATACAGTCCGGCTCATGGGCTGAAACTGGGACCGGATAAACACTACAGATGCTTGTGCTGAGATACCGGCTGCTGTACATGTTCAGACAGAGAGAGTAGTTTTCTTAACCCTGTGAAGCCTGACATATGAAATGATAGTCAGAAAAATTAAGGGAATTTAAAAACATATTTAAAAAGTTTGTATATATGTTTTATGTCATATTAATACATCAGGCTTTTATGACTCATATAGAATGATATAGTGAGAATAAGGAGGAAAAAAAACACCTCATTTTTTTTAAATACCCAAACTGAGCAAAAATATGCAATTTGGTGCAGATGCTGATATTTATATTATGAAATTCCGATGCTTGTAATGTAAATCAATGAGCTCTTTATAACATTATAGCAGATACTTACTTAAAATGATATAAATATCAGTCATCACTCTGTATATCTGCCAATAATATGTAGTAAGATGATATTTAAATGCTTAGTTTTGATGATCTAAAAATATAATGCAATGCAAAACAATGATGATTGAAAGATGAACAAATAAACGTTCCTCAAAAGCCTGATGATCATATTAGATACTCACATTTTAACATGCTTTTTCTAAAAATTATGCATTGTTAATCAAGTGAGCCTAATATTATTCTTAAATTATTTAAGGTTACTCTGCATCTGAAATGTCTATAATTGCACACACAGCAATGATGCATCATATTTGCCTCTGCAAATCAATATCTAATAATGACATCAATCTCTATTAGGCTGTTTATCAATAGCCGCTAATCCAAAGTAGATCTGTTTCATATTTCTAAGCAGACACACTGACAAAAATAGCAACAGTTTCTCCAAATCAAAAAACAAAGCCTCATCGGCATCCTTTGTTTAAATGCAAGAGACAAATATGGGAATATTATTTGAATCTATCCTGTTTTCACCCAACAATGCATTAGCCTTTGAAGACTATAATATTTATGTTATATAACAATTTCCTCCTGCTCTGTTCCTGTGAATGAACCGACAGCGTTTGATCTCATATTCTGTGGTTGCTTTTGCTGATGATTTAAACACATGTTAGTTTGCACACTAAGTATGTGAGTAAATGAAAACAAAAATGTTATTTTTGAGTGTATTCATTTATATGTTAGAAAATCTAGCTTAAAATCACATGCAACTAAAATGAAGTTGGAGGTAAAAAGGTGTGATGTTGGTTATCTAGAGATTATACAGCAGAGCAAACCATTTGCCATCAATCATAATGAGCAAAGCATGAAAACATCATAACTAGCAGAATGCAGGCCTATGATCACACAGATGATTGCAGTTATGTTAGGCAACAGGCTTTTGTGCAAAAAGTGAAATATATGGTTCCTGTCTTGGCTTGAGGTTATGACACCCAATGAGCTGTAACGCAAAAGAGACTGTATTTCTCTTTGCACTGTAGTCAAATAACAATCTTGTTTTTGTTTGAAAACAACTTCCAGTGTTCAGGTCCCTATAAAAAAGTATTATGGTGGTATAATAATAGTAGTTGTGTCCCAAATGACTTCAACCGTCTAGTTTATGAACTATACAAGGTTATTTTGTCATCCTACATCGGCGTCTGGCAGAATTGCTGGTTATTTAACTGTACATTTGAAGTGCACTTTTTTGACTTTTCAGTGCGAACACACTCATAACCTAAAATATTTATACTAAAAAAACAGCACAGAATAGAGAACAAGAACATGAACTGGGACGCAGTGTGAGGATGTGACAATGCTATTGTACTTTGATATGGTCCAAAAGTCTGAAACCACACTGAAAATCTAGGATTAAACTTCAATTTAAACTAACGTTGAAATATTTACAATTAAAGGTTAAAACATTAAATGAAGAAATATAGGAATATTTCTTGTGCTGGACAACATGGTCATCAGATTTTCATGTTTTTCCATTTAACTTTTAGTTCAAATTGTTGTGCTAACAGTCAAGTTATAATTAAAAAGATGTAACTTTAAAAGGAATTCATTAATCTGTCTACTGAAAATACTATAATAAATAGGCGACTGTAATTGATTTTTAATAAATTGTATTATAAATGAAATTATAAGTATATAATTAATATTACTTGTGTATATATATATATGTTATAATATTGTCTTTACTTGCATAATAAAAAATGTATAATAATAATTTATTCATATATATAATATTAGTTGCATATATATGTTATATTAATTATTTTTTTCATTATATTATTTATTCGTTTAATAATTATTGTACTTGTATTTATTTATTTGACTAATAATTTTTTAAAAATTTATATTACAATTTATTAACACAATTTATTACAATATTTTGTTAGAAGTTACATTTTTCACTCAAATTGTTGTGTTAACAGTGGAATTAAAATGTATACTTAATACTAAATTAAATTTTATTTACTAAATTAATAAATTGCATTATAAATCTAGCTATACACACACACACAAGGTTTGCTATCCTTGAGGGGACTCTCCATAGGCGTAATGGTTTTTCTACTGTACAAACTGTATTTTCTATCGCCCTACCCCTAAACCTACCCCTTACAGGAAACTTTGTGCATTTTTAGATTTTCAAAAAACTTAATTCTGTGTGATTTATTAGCTTGTTTACCCGTGGGGACCTCAATTTAGGTCCCCATCATGACACGAGTCCCCATGAGTCTGTGTGTATTCAGGTTTAAGTCCTCACCAGAATAGAAAAACAGGTACACACACACACACACACACACACACACAAACACATTCACCACCATCATAACTCAGGAAAATCAGGAGGCTTTCCAATCTAGCGCTATAGTCACCACATTTAAATTTTATGGCAATTTGCATTTGCCATCAAAATTTAAAAAATATTGTAATTAAACACATTGTTATTTTTGTACAACAACTTATCTAACATTATGTTATGAAAGTGTGATTTCTGAATGCACACTCACACACACACACACACACACACACACACACAATTTATTAATTTTAATTACTCAATTATAATATTTTATAAGCAGTGGTTTGTGTTTTCTCAAGTGCCAAAACAAGAGTCAACTAAAACAATTTGTAAGTCTGACATATAAAAGGACCGAACCAGTGTCTCACATTTCCTTGGCTGAATTAGCAGCTTTGACACATTGCAATATCCGCTTCCGGTTGCTGTCAGGTGTCCGTCAGCGCTCCGTCTATAAATACCGCTGGAACTCGGTGTTCCGACAAAGCGCTTACAGCGACGTTAGACTTCATGTGATTCCTCGCTCACAGGGTGAGAAACCCGGACTTTCTGCTGAGGGTAGCCCCCTTAGAACCGAATGAAGAAACAAATCTTACTACTTTTCACATACCGAGGACTAGTAAGAAAAGGGAAGAAGAGTAAAAGAAGAAAATGGCCAATTTTATATTACGGAAAGCCGAGCCCAAGGACGTGTCTGACATACTGCGACTCATAAAGGTACACAAATACGGCGCATGCGTCTTTTTTTTTTTTCAAATTTATAAATGATTGTAGAAAATGTTTACCTGTTGATGTTTGCGAAATAGGCTTATTTACGATGTTTAATTAATTTTAGGAACTTGCAAAGTTTGAGGAAATGGAGGAGCAGGTCGTCCTGACCGAGAAAGGTACAGACCGTTAGTCAGACCTTATGGTTTCCGAGTATAATATATGAAGGTAACGTTATATGAATATATGATGATAATTTGTTTATTTCTCAGAGCTGCTCGAGGACGGCTTCGGAGATCATCCGTTTTATCACTGCGTCGTCGCTGAAGTACCGAAAGATAAACAGTCCATTGAAGGCAAGTCAAAAACATAAATGATCATTTTGGCGTGTATATATACAAAAACCTGCTTATATCATGGATACAATATTGTTACAGTTGAGCTTCGATTTATGAGGGAATTGTTACAGTGTATCTCTCTGCGTCATGCGTTCGATGTGACGTCACAGCCGCTGAATCCAGAGTGCCTCTTCACTTTAACCTCTTTATGATTCTCTTTACGATTTCCACATCAGGTTATACAGTAGTTGGCTTTGCTATGTACTACTTCACCTATGACCCTTGGATTGGGAAGCTGCTTTATCTGGAGGACTTCTATGTGATGAAGGAGTTCAGAGGTATGAAGTGATGCCACCTGTTCTCACTGCTGGAGAGAAAGAAAGAAAGAAAGTGGAGGATTACTAAATTTTATATTAGTATACTGTATATATTTTTCTAATTATATTAACTAAATTATATGTATGTATTATTATTGTTATTTCATATAATTCTATTTTATTTATTCGAATATTTATATATAATTATATTACTATAATTCATATATTTTTTAATTTATAATAATAATAATGATTACTATTATAATATATAATTTTTATATATCATACTGCTTCTACTTATCTGTTGTAAGTGTGGTTTCCCCACAGTGGTTCAGGCTGTAGGATTGCCAAATGACTAATGAAACGTGAACAGCAGGATGGTATAAAACCATGCATTTCTTGTCTATCACCACCCACTGCCACTTATACCAACGATGGAAATAAGTAGGGGTGTAAGAAAATATCGTTACACACGAGTATCGCAATATTTTGTTTGGCGATACTGTATTGATTCTCAAAAACGCAATATCGATATATATATATATATATAATTTTTTTTTTTAAATGTATACAAGATTCATGACCATTGTTTCGTTTTGAGTTTATATCCCGACCGCTAGATAGCACTCTTCTTACCTCTGAACTTAAACAGTGACAACGTGTGTGTTCCGCTCCTGCAAGGTTTGTCCAGTCCTGCCCGCTCCCGAAAACATTCTAATATTACATATAATTTTCGAGTATCAGGGAGCCGCTATCAATGGGGAGTATTTAAATCTCTTTTGAATGAGCGCTTGCGCTGTTCACTTTCACTTTCGCACATGTCATCGATTCGGTTCAATTCGATATCACGATGCATTGATGATGCACTGCATCCTCAGTTTTTTTATTTTACCTCATGTATACAATTTTGTCAATAAATCCAAGCAGTCAGATATATGAACTGAACCTGACGTGGTTTCTCAAGTTAGTAGCATTACCCCCTGCATATTTTATTTGTGTGTGAAATGATTTACACACAGCGTGTCTTCTCCAGGTTGTGCTTACCAGGTTGTTCGTAAAAGCCGAAATGTGCCCAGATGTCGGCTTTTAAAGTAGTTGGGACATTTTTAATTACTCGCACTCGCGTCTCGCCTCCCTCCGCCATTGTATGCTACCGTGACAAAGCACGTATGCGACAAATGACGTCAGAAAAGCATAAGTACGTTATAATCGGTTATGGTCCATTACTGAACCGATACCGAATCGTGCTCGTCTGCATCGCGATGCATCGTAGAAACACCCCTACTATTAACCATGCTGTTGTACCTTCTCACACCCTATTACTTCATGCTGATCATTATGAATCAGGGTCACACTCATGAAGGTGCGCATGCAATCACGGTTGGGGTGGTTGAGTCACAACGGAGGAACGTCAGCAGCGGTCAACGTCTTATACATTTACAAATGACTGTCAGCGTGTGTGGGCGTGGAACATCATGCGGGCTGTTGTGATCGTGAATTGCGCTCTTGTCCAGATGGAGCCAATCAAATGTTTAGAGCTTGTAGCTTGCAGTCACCAGATGTCAGAATGCTTGTTTGGGTTTTTCACAGATTGGAGATGAGAAATACAAGTGGAAAAGGGAAAACATGTACACAAATGTATACAGTTCCAAAATGGCTATGGTGCAGCAGTCACTTGGGGTGAAGGTCAGCTGCTTCTGACCTTCTCCCGAGCTTTCATTTCTTGTTTGTGTGCATTTATTAGGTGTGTTCTTTTGTTACTTGTTTGAGTGTGGGCTTATCAGACAGTAACGGGTGGAGGGGGGGCGGTCAGTTGAGAGAGTGGAAAAGGGTGTTGAAAAAAACCCTTTGTCAGAGTGGAACAGGAAGTGAGTGTTTATTTTTTCATTTCCTCACCAAGGCGTTACAAGTGATCTTCACTCACTCCTAGAGCTGGCTGTTAATTACCACTCTTTGCTAGGGGTGTAAGAAAATATCGATACACGTGAGTATCGTGATATTTTTTTAGACGAAACTGTATCGATTCTCAAAAACGCAATATCGATATTTAAAAAAAAAAAATGTATTCAAGATTCATGGCCGTTGTTTCATTTTGAGTTTATATCCCGACCGCTAGATAGCACTCTTCTTACCTCTGAACTTAAACAGTGACAACGTGTGTGTTCCGCTCCTGCAAGGTTTTCTAGTCCCGCCAAACATTCTAATATTACATATAATTTTCGCGTATCAGGGAGCCGCTATCAATGGGGAGTATTTAAATCTCTTTTGAATGAGCGCTCGCACTGTTCACTTTCACTTTCGCAATCACGTGCACTCTGAGTAAAAGGAGCGCATCTTACGATATAAGATATTTGTCAATGAGCTCCGGATCTGTTGAGTAGCAAATCCTCCACCATGGTCTTGTAGGTCATCCCTCCTCTCGACCCATGATCAGTCAAATCTGACTCCTGCAAGCACTTAATTGTTCCCCCTTTATTCGTACTGCACAAAAAGTGGTTCAATAGCATTGAATGTTACAGGGACAGATTAATGCAAATGCAGATGCCACTGTGTTCTGGTTAATATATATATATATATATATATATATATGTATGTATGTGTGTATATAATATATATACTTTTGCTAAGGTTTGCATATGGTGGTCTGTTCTAAATGACAGTTTTCCTAAAATTATATCCTATTCTCCTATTTCTAAAATAAGAAATATCCCAGTATATCGTCTTGCTTACAGTATCGTAATATATCGCAACATACCGTATCGCAACCCCTGTATCGTGATACGTATCGTATCGCCAGATTCTTGCCGATACACAGCCCTAGAAATAAGCGCAGTTAGAATAGCAAAATGTGTGGGAGAGCGTTGCTATTGTGTGACTATTGTATTGCAGTAGGTAGTGCTTCAATGTTAACGTTGAATCAAGACTAGTTAGCACATAATTTATAATTGAAATGGTTTAATAACACTATTTCGTTATGGTTACACTTGAATTGGTTACAAAATAGATGAAGGATGATGAAACGTATACTGTTAAATGTACCCAGAATGAATGTAAAATGTTACCAGAGAGAGATAGAGGGAGAGCGAGCAGAGCCCCAGCGAAGAAGAGAGATCGCCAGCCAAGAAAAGAGACCGAGTTACAATCTTCTTTTCTCCCTTCCTTGACCATGTGACTAAAAACCAAATATGAGACATTCAAACTGACCAATCAGCAAATGACAGCTTTCCCCACCGTGCAAAAGGTGTGACAATCGGCAGACCCCCGATTGAAATATTAATACAATTTTTCAAGTACTTGATTGCTTTCGTCTCTGTCATTGGCTGTAGACGGCAGTGAAGGCTCGATGCAGCGGCATGCACTTCATCGTGGCCGAGTGGAACACGTCATCCATCGAGTTCTACAAGCGGCGCGGAGCGTCCGATCTCTCGCACGAGGAGGGATGGCGTCTGTACGAGATTGACAAGCGCAACCTGCTCAAGATGACATCCAAGTAGACGCCAGTGCAGGAGGAAATGCTCAAATAGAGGAGGATTATGAGCACAACTATTGTTGTCTGCTTTGTTGATTACACATGCAATGTATTGTTCAATAAATAAAGCTTCTACTTTGAGAAAGAGACTGACTGAAAGTTCTGTTGGATCAGTATGTTAACTCTTGTTGTCCTCTATAAAAGAAACACTCTTATGTTTTGGTTCATTAACCTCAGGGTTTCCCCACTTCCAAATACACATATGAATTTTGATTGCATGTTGACTTTAGGCTTCCTTCTATTCAGCATGCAAAATTATACTTTCTTCTCACCAGTAAGACAATGATTTCATCATTTCAGGAAATATTTGAATCGTGTGATGCCGTTTGGAAATGAGCTGATGTCTAAATCTAGACTAGTTCAGAGGTTGTTTAACTGCTGCAGTTGGCAGATTTTTTGTGCTTGCATAGGAAGAGGAAGTTCAGACTGACAAACAGCACTGACATTAACATGCTAACCCCAAACAAAGTGATCATTTCCTCCTAACTTTGTAGAATTATTTTATTTCAGTCATAAATCACACCACCATCATCACATAGTATATAACATTTATTTTGGTTCACCAATGTATTTTTAATACAATCTCAGTAGTTTGTTTACAAGTTCAGAACTTCAGTCAGACCACTAACTCCTGTCTTGATGATTGACAGATGAAAGAGGAAGTGGCTAGTGCAAAAGTAGGTCATGAAGATGAGCGAAGGATGGAGATCCTGTACCACAACCTCACTGTCAGAGAAACAACCTGAGAGGTGATGATGAACCTGTAAACAAACAGCACAGCAAACCACAGTCATGAGGACTTCTGAGAAAATAAACATGTCTGAATGTCATTGTGGCATTTTAAATCAAATATATTTTAAATTCTATATAATATTTGAAATATATTTAATATATAATTTTAAATAGTTTTTATTTTATCTAATGCAAATAAAGATTTACAGTAAAAACAACTAAAGCAAAAACAAAAATGAGACAAAAAAGGGATTGTGTTTGTTATGCATTGCCGTAAATCATTTCATTTTACTCTCACAGCAGATACATTTATTTCTGCTTAAATTGCATTGCTTTTCAGCCGTGCTTAATGCATGATATTAAAATGTCTGAATGGTAAAATATTAAACTAAGTAGCATTTATTTTAAATAAAGATTTCAACAAAACAACTAAAACATGTATTGTGTTTGTTATCGAATGATGTTGCTAGTTAATGTGATTCTCTACACATGTGGTTCATCTGCTGGACACCTGTGTGAACTTGAGGAGAACTGACTTCATCCACAAAAAATTTCTGACAAAATGCAAAAATTACTCAAAAAAGTGCAACACTCACCAAAAAAGATAATCTGGCAATTGTACTGCGATCTAACAGGTTTTAGTGAAAAAAAAAAATCTTTTTTTTTTATATATATATATATATCTTTAGTGCAATGCAAACAGAGTTGGGAAAGGATTTGATGTGACTATAGTAATGTTGTTTGTACATTGTGTGCACCTGTGTTGTGTCTCCGTGCTGATTATGATCTTTGATATTTTGTACCTAAGCTTTGGTCTCCCCGCTGGAACTCTTTTCTGCTTGATCCTATTAAAACACAAAACAAAAAGCGCTCAGGCTGTTTCCAAACCCAATATTTGCAGTGTTCAAATGCTATCTGTAGGTCAAACGGTAGAGGTTGTGGGTTTGATTCCAAGGAAATGCAAAGAATGTAAACTTTGAATGCAATGTAAGTTGCTTTGGATAAAAGTGTCTGGCAAATGCATGAATGTAAAAGTCTGTGTGAGAAGAACCAAACTCACTTTCTTTGAGGCGGGTTTGCCTTTGATGAGTTTCTCCACAGCAACATAAGCCTGAAGCGCCCAGTCGTATACGGTGTCTCCTGTGTTCTGTGTTGTGGGAAGGTTATAAGGGTCACTTCAGAGAGACGGGACACACACACACAGATTTTATTGCTGGAAGTAGATATATTTGTCATAGTGTGTTTTTCTACTGCTGAATGCCCTCGTGTTATTGGTGGGCTACACAACTGCTTACAGCGTTTGGAAATCTGGTCTTAAATGTGATGCATTGCCAGTAAAAATATTTTAATTTGATGCTTAATGTGTTTCAGCAGTGCATAATCATCCTGTTCATAATCTTATGAACAGGATGAGCTAAACTCACAATACATGCCATTTTTCATGCAGTTATATAAGCCTGAAAAAATATTTTTAAATGTATTTAAAGTGTTTTTCATGCATTTTTATTTTTAATTATTTTTGTGTATATATATATATATATATATATATAAAAAGTTCAAAAAAAAAAAAAAATTTAAAAACAAAAACCATTATTATAATAATATTTTCTGAAACTGTGTCTTAATTATGTGGACTCATTCTTAAATGAAAATAATCATAATAATCATAATAACAAAAATAAATCTGTCACTGGGTAAGTAAACTTTTTCCCTTTAAATTCAGTTGACCCCACTGACAGATTTTTTTCTTCTTCCTGTTTTAAGCAAAAACTCGCTTCATTTTGATAAATTTTTCTGAAAAAAAGACTTAATAGCTCATTAGGCGCCAGCCCTCTTATAACCCTAAAAAGCATAAGTGGTTTGGAGGGATGGATGGATACCATATATGCTATTTCACTTAAGTAAATGTGTCTTGATTTAAGAATGTTTAGATATTTCTACTGGAAAACAACAAATATTGAGGAAGAAAGTCACTTTTTGCTGTATGAGTATAAGATACTGTATTTGAATGTAGAAAAGATGCAGAAATTAATGTTGCTGTTACTGATTTGTCTCTGCCTATAATATAGTACGCCCATATAGCATTGCTAATTAATGTCGCTCAAAATTAATGACTTCAATCACTGAAAAACACTATATATGAGAATGTACTCTTTTGGTGCAGACCTGAGTCTGGTCCATTGTTTTTTTCTTGTTTTTTTCTTCTTAATGCCAACATATGGGCACTGATATATTATCTATTATAATAATGGAAAATTACCAATTTATAAGTCACTTACAAAAGCTGTATTTAGTCAAAATAGCTAATGAAGAAAGTGCAATGCATTTTGGGGGCCAGACAGTGTAGTTACCTGTGTCTACCAGCAGGGGCAAACTGGCCTATGATTTAGCTTAACCTTGACACCTTGAATTTGAACTTTGGTTCAAACAGAGTGTGAAATCAACCTAATTTTGGTCTGTTTTGCTTTTTAATCAGTGACCCTGCTGATCTTTCAGGACATTTCCATCAGCATATCTGACAGGATGGGGACATGCAGCGCTGAAACGGTGTGTTGACAGGGTTTGAGCAGGACGCGTGTGAGGCGAGAGATAGCCACTGCAAAGTCTATATTGGTTACAATCAAAACAGACAACCGGCTGATATTAGACAAAGTGTTGATGCAGCTTCTCTTTGTGTCCTTGGGTGTTGTTAGGAATGTGTTTCATCTGCTGTTTTTAACTGGTGGAAAGTTACAGATCGTAACCTCGCCTCGCCTTTCCCTCCTCTCATTTCCAGGCCCGATAACATCTCACAACCCTACATCCAATAAACTTATAAGACACACCTACCTTTGCGACGGTCACGGCCTCTTGAGGATAATACATGGACGCAGCTACAGCCATTAGACCAGTCGGGTAGATCAGTTTCTTCAGCCTGGAGCCTTGAAATGACAAAAAAAAAATCCCTAAAAATGACTCAAAAGTTTGATTCAAAAGTTTTATTTTCAATAGGACACATTAAATTGATCAAAAGTGACAGTAAAGACGTTTGTTACAAATATTTATATTTTAAATAAATGCTGTACTTTGTTCATCAAAGAATCCTGAAAAAAAAATGTATCTCCATTTCCACAAAAATATGAAGCAGCACAACTGTTTTCAGCATTGATAATAATCAGAAATGTTTCTTGAGCAGCAAATCAGCATATTAGAATGATTTCTGAAGATCATGTGACACTGAAGACTGGAGTAATGATGCTGAAAATTCAGCTTTGATCACAGGAATAAATTACATTTTGCAATATATTCAAATAGAAAACAGTTATTTTAAATGGTAGTAATATTTTACAATTTTACTGTATGTTTGATCAAATAAATGCAGCCTTGGTGAGCCGATGAGACTTATTTCAAAAACATTAAAAAATCTTACTGTCCCTGAAATTTTGAATGGTAGTGTATCTGAAATATCAGTGTGTTCAATAAAGCAAATAAATAGTATTCAGGTTTTGGGAGAGGCTTAGTATTTTTGTCTCATTTTCCACAAAAAATTTGAAAGATTCTTAAATCAAGATACTTTAGAAGGAAAATAACTTAAGATATTAAGTCTTGTTTTCACAAAAAGTATAAAAATTAAGCAATTTTATGCTTAAAATAAGAAAGCATATCTGCCAGTGAGGTCAGAAAAATAATCTTGTTTTCCCTTTGAATTAAGTTGAATTTTCCAAGCCCACTGACAGATTTTTTTTTTTTATTTTAAGCATAAATTCCCTTAATTATTAAATTTTCACAAAAAAAGACTTAATATCTTAAAGGGGTCATCGGATGCTCATTTTCCACAAGTTGATATGATTCATTAGGGTCTTAATGAAAAGTCTGTAACATAGTTTGGTTAAAATTTCTCAATGGTAGTGTAAAAAACACCTTTTTTACCCTGTCAAAAACAGCTCTTTTCAGAGCAAGCCGTTTTGTAGCATTTTCCTTTAAATGTTAATGAGCTCTGCTGACCCCGCCCCTCTCTTCCGAGCCGCTCTCAGAGAGACTGTTTACTTTAGCTGCATTCATTGTGAAACTTGCTAATTAGCACATTATAAGGAAAGGCGATTTGCAAAGATTCATTACAAAACCTTATACTCACTTCTGTAGGTGAAGCTGGATCACGAATGATTCAAGCGAACATAGACGCATTTATGTAGATCGGGCGCGCATTCCCTTCAGAAACAAACGTAATCCACTGCGTTTTCAGCGGCTCAGATGTCGGGAGTAAATGACGACTGCTATGTTCATTATTACATCCAACAACAGAACACCTCAGTGGTTGTGTACACACACTGCCAACACACATTTCAGTTCCAACAACTTGTAAAAGTGCA